TTTATGGCCTGCCCTACAGTCTCAAAAGCAAGATAGGCTCATCAAACCAATCTGGTAAATTTCAATGTACATAAACTGATAGGGGAAAGTCCTATATTTGACACTGTAACTTTCCAAAACACATGCAACCTCTACATGGAGGGCATCATTGTACTCTTGGCACATCACAGCATACAAAATATGTGTGTTGTATTACAGTAACCGCTAATAGTAATAGGACATTAGCAGTTAAAATGCCATGCAGAACTGAAAATAACATTTCGTAATGTCTCAAACTATTTTAGGCTTTATTCATATGAAATTATGTCTCATACATGAATATTTGATGTGAAATGAAAGCCCTATTTCTCCAGGACAAAATGATATATACTAAGTGTATATAACCCCTTAAGGACACATGACATCTGTGACATGTCACGATTCCCTTTTATTCCAGATGTTTGGTCCTTAAGGGGTTATGGAGCATTGAAAAACTGATGCACATGCAAAGCAAGTTAACTGTAACATCAGGTGACTGTTTTAACCATGCTATGTACACATTACAGACTACAAAATTGCAAGGTTTTAGATTGCATGGTTAAAAAGACAGGACCGCTGAACCCAGACCATTTCATTGAAATAACTTTAATGGTCCTTTAAAGTGAACCTGTAATGAAAAAATGAATTGCCTTCCATACATATTGAATACACCATATATCATAAATACATATGTATGTAAGATATAGTGATTAACTCCCGTTTCCGCTTTTCCAGCGCCACTTCACTGGAGTTACTCTTCATGTAACACCCACCCTCCTGACCGTCCTCTGCTCATGTTTTTCTTTGACGCATCCCCAAGCAGGGAAAATCTCATCAGTGATGTCATCACGCTGCTTTGCTACCAGCGTTGTAACAGAGTGATGTCACGTCACTCCATTCCAATACTACCTAGCTGGCACAATTAGTACCAGCAAGGGAGTTTCCATAGCAACCACAGTGCATGCGCTGTGGTTACTATTGGAGAACAGACGGACCTCACATGGGAGGTTTTTTTCTACTCTCCCTCGTCAATGTCAAGGTTTTTCTCCTGATCTGTACTTTTGCTAGTAAACCTGCTAGCACAGTGCATGTATGAAATCTTATGCTCAAGCTAATGAGCATAAGTTGTTTGCGGCATGACAGGTGGCCTTGAAGAACAGAAATACCATGACCTGACTAATATAATAACGTCTTAAAATCAATTTTTAAGTAATCTAACATAAACCTCTTCTGATGGCTGGAAGATAAGTTGACACCAGGTGCACTTGTTCTATTGTGGTTCCTCCAGTGGCAGGGTTAATTTAATGGGTTTTTTTTTCCCCCTTTTGGTTTTACCTCCCTTATACCCCCTGCATCTTAAAGGGACTAACCACTTCTCAATTGAAGTGTCTAACACTGCAAGTGATAACATTGCAGGTTTAAAGAAAATGCAATGTTTACGTTGCAGGGTTAAATCAAGCTCTAGTCGCACTTCACAGAGTTTAACTCTGTGAAACAATGTTGGATGCCCCACTTTGCATGAGGACGTCCAATGTCTTCAAAATCCTCACAGGAAAGCATTGATTCACTGCTTTTCTTTGGGGAGGCCCTAATGTGCGCTTACAGCGCATGCGCATTAGCAGCACCTGCCCCGGATCAACAATTAGCTTGAATGCAGCTCAAAGTAAAATATAGGGTAATTAACCATTTATTCACGGGGGGGGGGGGGGGGGAGGGTTGACTTCGTTATAAGGAGAGGGACACTATAGCATGAAGAATACAGTTTTGTATTTAGAGTTGACATTTTGTTTTCATTTGCCACGTCTGCGGCTTGTCCTTCCTGATGGGTTGTGGGCAAATTTGATTGGCAACACTGAAATAGAACCTAGTCCTAAACTCAACCCATTGTCAAATATTGCAAACTTGACTACTTTTACTTATGTAAAGCAGCCCATACTTTGTGTATCCTATGTAAACTATGGCTTTCTGTAAAGAACAAGAGATTCAAATACAAGAAGCTATATAAAGTTTATTTTTGGTGACAGTCACTTTAAATTATGCAATCAATTGTTCAATGCCCACTTTTTATAACAGAACACTTTGATAAATCTCCCCATTTTTCTCAAAATGAAAATCTACTGGTAAGCATTACGTTAAAGAAATCACAATAAGAATCTAATTTGTATTAAACTATTTTTTTTTATGCAAGAATTACCTGGAAAGAAATAAACAGTTGCAGATCCTGTGACCTCCTAACAAAAAGAATTTAAAAAGGTATTCAAGGGCATTTAGAGCATGCTATCTAGTTTAATTTCCCACATTTGCAGTAAAATGTTTGTGACAGTTCTAATTTGTGCCACGGTTCCCAAGTGTCTTTCTAGCCATGTACCACATTATTTCAATTTCATTCCCTAACAAGAGACAGAAATGGATCTAGGTTAAAAGGAAACGAATATTGCTAAACCTGATCACTTCTGACAAGAAAGTTATTTAACTCTTTAGTTTGCTGGGGCAGGGACATTTTGTGTGTGTGTAAGCTGAATTTAACTTTTTTTTCTTTCACAATTAATGACAAGATAGTA